GGGCCCTTCCCCTCACTTTTAACTTTTGGGCCAGATAACTTGTGTGCCGGAGTCCCATAATTCATATCTTGAACAACACACCCAGGTACTGGGAGGACATAAAGAGGAAATTTTTCTAATTTATGCGGATCAATCACCATCCGCCTAAACACATTCTTCTTGTACGTTAAGGGATCCGCTGGCTCATAAGAGCTTGCCTTGAAGGGGTGGTATGTATTCCCTGAAAAGAAAGCAAAACAAAAGGAACCCCTCAGTATTTCTTCTGATTTCCCTCAGTCTGATTAAAAACTTACATGGCTCAAGGATTTCAAGAAAATCTTCTTCGGTATTTGCCTTAAAATCACTTGCACTCGACACCCCTGGCAGCGACGAAGGTCGGGCTACAGTCCCTTTAGGAAGGGCAAACCTCCTTGTTTCCACCTGCACTGTAGCTACTTGTAGATCCATCCCTTTGTTTTCTCCAGATCCTCCCTCTTCTGTTAAGTCTATCTCTTCAACACTTGTGGAGGTCCTTGGACGCTTGCCCCCCGCCACTTCTGGTCCTTTTAACATACTCAATAATTCAGTAATTGCACGTTTGTTATTAGTACGTTCCTTCGAGGCCTCCACAGCCTCCTTCATCCAACATTCTTTTATAGCCTGAGGGCTACCAAAATGAATCTTTGTTGACCCTGTCGACCATGTTTGAAGATTCCCAGCTGGGAAGGCTATGCAAATTAAAAACAAAAAACAATTATTAATTATTTCCCAATCACTGGGCTATCTCTGATATCTTTACCTCTTGCAACTGCAGTTACTGCTAATCCTTCAGCCAAGTAAATCTCATTAATACCGCTCAGTGCCCCTTGAAACACACTAGCATGTCTCTCCAATTGATTTGTCAGAGAAGCTTCTAGAATCGCATTTTGGCTCTCCTCCCTTTCTTTAAGAACCTCCAAAGTTTCTTGACTTTCTTCCAATTCTTGTTTTTGCCTCTCTAGCTTCTCCTTCTCTGCCATAATCGCTTGAAGAACTCGTCTTTGACTCGAGATATTCTCAGCATATTGCTGAGATTCCTTCTTCAGACGCTCCAGTTCCACTTTTAACCCATCCCGCCCAATCTTAGCATTTGTTTCCGCCTCAAGAAAGGGCAAAAAATCACCCATCCGCTGCAGACCTTCCTCCGACAAAGATCGAAGCTTCTTAGCAATATTTTCTGCCGATTTTGGCAGCGTTACCACCACCTCTGATCCCGCCAGACTTTGGTCTAATGATGTCTCCCCCGATCCCTTATGATCCT